GCTAGGAGTGGGTTGACCCCGTTGTCGCAACTTGGTTGTCGCAACTGCGACCACACCAGAGGCCACAACATCTTGGTCTTCATATATTCAATTTAATTATTCCGTTTACTATAATTATTTTATACTGACCGATTTTACAGTATTTTCGCTGTACTTATTTTATCATCTCGTTTCATAATCATATTTAAATATTCGGAAAACCGTCATAAAGGCACTCGGGCACTGCGTAATATTAATATTCTCATGTCCTTTGTCAAATTATAGCCTATATCATTCACTAGCCATTTAGCATACGAAGAGGAAAGAGGTCGTTTAGCACTGAAAAGTAGTAGTTTCTACAGTCGAACGGGTAAACGTACTATTGCAGGCATCTTATAGCTTTATGGCATGACTCTATTTCTAAGGGAAAGATTATTGGAAGGAATTCGTGATGGGGTCTCACCGGAAGCCGAAGGAGGATTGTCGCATAAGGAAGACAATTCTCCTTCGGTTTCCGATGAGACCACATCACGAATTCCTTCCAACCATATTTTCCTTCGAAATGGAGAGTCATGCCACAATATTTCACTAAGAACTTCTTCGAAACCCAGTTTTTCTTCATATCTTATAGCTTTCATTCTCTTATCCTGAAAGTCAATTATTCCGCTTAATATTTTGCTCTTTTTATATTCTATTTGCATAACACACATACACACTTAAGGAAATAAGCTGAATCTCTTAGTATGAACTCAAATCCACTTCTTAATCATTCTCTTTGCTGCTTAGCTGTCCTGTATTTACAAGTACGAGTGTTGGAAACACCTGCGGCTTTATGGCTACACCAACCACTCGGCTTCAGGCGCCTCCACCACCGCCACCAAGAAGCGCTAGCACCGGGCTCCATCTTACCAGACTCGGCATCACTTCTGCTTGCCCACTTTCCACGACTACCGGCGGCACCAATGACCCCAACCTGGAGGCCTCGACATCCTTGGCGACCCGGGGCCCTATTTATGCTAATCTGGCCGGTGTAAAAAGACAGACAGTGCTCGCGGCTGGCGGCTATTCGCGGCCAGTGCTAGCGGTTGCACCCACTGCCTCTACACCTCCGCCCAATTCCACGGGCTCATCTGCCACTGTCTGCCTTCTGCCAGAGGTCACCAGTTCGCCTCTCTTCCTATCGCCCCTTGCAACGCCTCCGTTGAGTGTCACCAACGCAGCAACCACCGTTCCTTCCAGACAAACTGAGAGTTAGTATCTTGCAGCACTCCCCTTTCAGACCATACTGCCCAACTGGACTAGGAATAGTCTATTCTTTCTTCTGGCATATGTCATATGTCATCATATTAGACGAAATGGGATGAGATGACATGAAATGACTTGAGATGAGATGTTATGAGATATGATGAGGTGAGATTAAAAAAAATAGATGAGATGAGATAAGCTAAGCCAAGATAAAATGAGATTAGATAAAATTAGATTACATTAAAATGGCTTAAGATGAGAGGAGATTAGATAAAATGACTTGATGAGATGAGATGTGATGAGCTGAGGTGAGGTGAGATCAGAAGAGATGAAATGACATGAGATCAAATCAGAAGAAATGGGATGACATGAAATGAGCTGAGATGAGAGGAGATGACATGACATGACATGAAATGATTAAATGTGATGAGATGAGATGACTGCCTTATCCTCCTTGTATTAGCAACAAAGGCAATGGCTAAAAGAGGCCAATCAGAGTGGACCATGTATTCATCTCAGGTTAAGAATGTAATGATGCTTTCGAGCATAAAGTAAAAGGTCATCAGTAAAGCGGAATGGAAAAAAGTAATCTACAAGTAGTTTGACCCCGATTAACTCAGCTTGTCCGGAATCCTCTACCTTAGTAGCCATGATGATTTCTGCCGTTCGACTGTGAACTTGATACATTCCCAGTCGTTTCACTGGCAACGTCAGTGAGTCTTGTTAATCTTAGCACTAAGCTACAACTCGTTGAATAGACAAATGAAGTCCATTCTTTGACCAACTTTCTGATGGGATAACACAACTATTCGGCACAAACTTGGTTGGAAAGTTTACTCATCCTGTCGGTTTACTAGAACCGTCACAATCTTAATTACACTCGCCTCGTCGACATTTTAGAGAGTAAAAATGGAGTGGGAGGAACACTTTTGATCATGCGTTGTATCATTGTGCGGTTGTTGAGCACGACCTTGCCGATGGAAGGTATTTTATGGCACGTTTTTGGCTGTGGCCGCTGCTGCTTGAGACTTGGTGGGCTGTTTTATGTGGAGTTGGATGTGGCGAATGCTACTGTACCGAATAGTTGTCTGCAGCAGTAGCAGAATCACTGGCAGCTCCATTTTTGCTGCGCCCCATTTATTGACTGATATAGCTCCGATTTATTACTCACATCATAACCATGCGATCTAGAAGAACCGATTTTGAGAGAAACAACAGTTTTTTGCAATTAATTAACTTATTACTCATTTTTTCCTCAACTTGAATTCACCGGCAGCGCGCACACGGGCTGTAGTTTGTTGAGTGTGAGAGACTAAATGCTGCTCGCATTTGTCGTGCGTTTCAATGTTTGCTAGAGCAACACTGTGAAACCGTTTTGATGGTCACACGAACTGAGAGGTTGTTTCGTCTCTCGACAGGGTGAAGGGCAACCAACACCGTTGCTACTTCTCTTCAGACGGATTGTCCTGTTCTCGTTTGATACTCTCTTGTATCAACAAGTTCTGTGGCCATGACAACTCACACACACATACGTACACCTCATCAAACACATAACCATTATCAAGTTGAAATAACAGATTTATCAACGGTCCTCGAGAAGACCGACTATTTATACAAGCACTTAAGTACCATTTGTAGGTCTCACGATTCTATTGAAGGCAATGTTTGCAGTATTGCTAATTTTGTTGGGTATATTGTTGGAGAGACTTGTCGTCCAATACGACAAAGGGGGCTGAGCACAAAGGCGCCTGCTGGGTTCGAAAATCAGAGCTGACTGAGAACATGAGATTGAATAGTCTCAAAAAAAATTTATTTGCCTCATTATGGTATGTCTACGGCTAAACGTAAAATTAGAGACCATCGAAATAGACCGAATAGATAATACATTGAATGCAAAAAATACCGGCAAGAAGTTGTGATGAAACTACTCGTGTTTAATTAATAGACTTAAGTATAGATAGGGTGTTAAGTCGTCTGCAAAAAGGAAGCAGCTCCCTAAACCCTACTTACAAACCGAAACCAAACTAGCCTGTTATTTTCTTGTCTTGGTTCTAATCAAAGTCACTTACTTGTGCTTTTTGATCTATTCTTTCTCACACATGAACACAAAAAGCTCGTAAGCATAACCAAATATGTGTCTGGCTATTCAATCGGAATGATGGTTAAAATATGTAGAAGGTGATGGTGGTTATCAAACTATGATGGCCGAGAATAGACGTTACTTTTTATGTTCATATTACTGATTTCGTACATATACGAACACATGCGGGCACATGCACACATAGACGAATACACTTACATGTTTTAAGGTTGAAATATGACTTTAATTAACCAAATCACTTTATAACTCGTCTAAGAGCTTAAAAATATATATATATAGAGAGAGAGAGATAGGGCTCTGATGGTGTCTAGTATACGACGGACTAAAGCTTGGCACCTTTTCACCGGAATTGAAGGAGATTACCTCGAAAACAGCGTCAGCATGAATGCTCCAGTAAAGCCAATCGACAACTGGTCAGGAGGAATCCGCCTTCGTCTTCTGGTGGAACCGACCTTCGAATATTTTCACCCAAAACTTTCCTCGAAACCCAACTTTTCTTCGCATATAATCCAAAGTGGCTGAAGGAAGAGGCGGACACCAACC